CTGAACCCTTCTATTGAATTTTACAATAAAATTTTTGTATTCTTCAGCTCTATGATCTCTGTTTATTACTTTCTTATATTTTCTGTCTCTTTGTTCAAATTCTCACTTTATTCATGCATTGTTCTCAAGACCTCAGTAAGCATCTTTATGACCATTATTTCGAACTCTATCAGGTAAATTGCTTGTTTTCATTTCATTAAGGTCTTTTTCTGCAGCTTATCTTGTTCTTTTATTTGGAACGTATTTTCCTTTGTTTCTTCATTTACCTTGCCTCCCTGTGTTGATTTCTGTTCATTAGGTAAAACAGCTACCTCTCCCAGCCTTGAAAGTGTGGCCTGTGATTGTTCAAGCTGCTTTCTTTGTTCTTAGTGGTTCCCAGTATTTGGGGGGTGTGCCCAAACCCATCAGTATCCCAAATGGGAAGATCCCAGTCAGCACCTAGATGCAGGCTGTTTGGAAGCTGGACCCTCGGGCAAGCAGCTTTTAAAGTCTGCAAGTAGATCTCTTTCAAAGAAAGATTGGAAGATGGGCATTTGTGTCTGCTGCCTCTACTTTTAGCCCTGGGGAGAAAACCAGTTAGGAACTGTTTGTTTGCTGCAGCAATCAAAACAGTATGGTACTGGCATTAAGATAGACATGCAGACCAATGAAACAGAATGGAGCCTAGAAATAAATCCACATGTATATGGTAAATTAATCTTCAACAGGATTTCCAAGGAAACAAAATGGGGAAAGGATAGTCTCTTCAACAAATGGTGCTGCGGAAATCTGGGCGGCGACATGCAAAAGAATGAAATTGGATCCTTATCTGAAAAAAAAATCCACAACCTGAAAGTTGAGAATTATATTTTATTTGGCAGACTTTCTGAGGACTTCAAGCCCAGGAGGCAGCCTCTCAGATAGCTCTGAGGAACTGCTTTGAAGAGGTAAGGGAGGAGCCAGGATACATAGGAGTTTTGCAACAAAGACCAGGTAGTCAGAACATCAAAAGATTACTGTTAATTAAAGAAAACCAGATACCTTAAGTTAATGAATTAGCACTTTTCTTTGTATGGGAAGATGGAAGAATCTGGGCTAATTGAAATCATTCCTTTGATATGCACCTTAGCTATCTGGGGCCAGTATCCTGTTCTTTCCCATCTTGAGTTCCCTCAGGGCTCACCATCTGGGCTGTAGTGGCTTGATGGCTGCAACATCCTTTGTTACCGATATGGCAGGCAACATTTTTCATTCACATCTTACACCATCACAAAAATCAATTCAAAATGGATTAAAGACTTAAACATAAGACCTGAAACTGTAAAAATCCTGGAAGAGAGTATAAGGAAAATCTTTATGACATTGGTCTTGGCAATGATTTCATGCAGATGGCACCAAAGCCCAGGCAACAAAAACAAACAAAATAAGCTAGACTACCTCAAACTAAAATGCTCTGCACAGCAGAGACAACAATAAACAGAATGCAAAGACAACCCATTGAAAGGCAGAAAATATTTGCAAACCATCTATCTGATAAAGGGTTAATCTCCGAAATATATATAAGGAGCACCTGTAGCTCAATAGTTTTAAAAAAATAACAAAACCTAACCTGATTAAAAATGGACAAAGGACTTGAATAGACATTTCCCTGAAGAAGTTATACAAATGGCCAACAGATATATGAAAAAATACTTAATGTCATTAGTTATCAGAGAAATGCAAATCAGACCACAATGAGATGTTATCTCACACCTGTCAGGATGGCTATTACCAAAATGATGAGGATGTGAAGAATTATAATGAACTCTGCATACTACTGGTGGGAATGCTAAATGGTACAACTGGAAAACAGTGTGGAAGTGCCTCAAAAAATTAAAATAGAACTGTCATATAATCTAGCAATCCCACTTCTGGGTATTTACCCAAAATAATTGAAATCAGGATCTCAAAAAGATGTTAGCACTCCTGTGTTCATTGCAATTCTCTCCACATTAACCAAGATGTGGAAACAATCTAAATGTCCATTGACAGATGAATGGGTAAAGAAACTGGTGTGTGTGTGTGTGTGTGTGTGTGTGTGTTTATATATATATATGTGTGTGTGTGTAAACTAGTTACATCTGTGCCTTAGAAGGGTTATAAGGGAAGGTTTTTCTGGGGGTGTTGGTAATGTTTTATATACTTTTCTGTAAATATGTTATTCTTTAAGTGAAAGCTTGTTTAAAAATTATATATATTGTATATTATATTATATAATATTATATATTATATATATATAGAGAGAGAGAGAGAGACAGAGACAGGGAGAGAGACAAAGAGGCACAGAAAGAGAGAGAGAGACATACTGTGTTATGAAATGGCTCCTATGTTTTCCTTAAATTTCCCTAAGCCTGAGAATGTGGTACAATTGCTTGAATGATTTCAGTAAAAGACATGCAGACAAAATCTAGGTGTTAGTAAAAAGTCAAGTTTAAATATTATTTCAAATTATCTGAATGAAGAGAGAATAGCGTGCCTGAAAAAAATTTTTCTTGCATGGACTGCTGTCTAAGAAACGAATTTGTATTTCTATATATGAGTTATTTCAATACTATTACATAGTATTATGCCAAAATTTATAATTTTATCATCAAACAGCGACAGAAGAACCGTCATACAACCAAAATGATTTTTTAAAGTAAAGAAAAATCTAGTTATTATCTCCTTATTCACTTATTCCTCCATCTCTTTATTATATTTGTTCTTATGCATTTCTTTGCCCATAGTCACATTGTTTTTGGAGTTTTGGAAACAGCGACAAGCCAGACTGGAATATGAGTGGGACCTGGTGGACTTTGAGGAGGAGCAGCAGCAGCTCCAGCTGAGACCTGAATTTGAAGCTATGTGTACACACAGGAAAGTGAATGCAGTGACTAAGGTATATTAGGAGACTGAAATAGGCAGTATATTCCAATGGACACCAAGCTGTGGGTGGCCTCTCAAGTAATGATGTGTATTTCAATTTGCCTTTAAAATACTTTACAACATATAAATCATATAAACTTGTTTACTCGCTTCTAATATACATTTTGATCACATGCACAAGTAGGTAGAAAAGTATAATGAGCCCCACGATGGAGTCATCACCCAGCTTCAATTATTATTATTTCATGGGCAATCTTTTTTCATTTATACACCTACCCCTCCCTGCCACTAGATTATTTTGAAGCAAATCCAAGTCATCATATCATGAAATACATAGTTTTAATACTAAGTGAAATAAAATGAAATGGAAAATAGTGTGCATGCTGTGGGCTTTGTATATAAATATATAGACATGGAAATGATACTAAGTTAATGGGTGAAAATTAATAGTATTGTATTAAGGTAGTGGGCTTATGAGTGATTGCTTTATTTGACCAAAGGTTATTCACCTAGTCCATTCTAATTAATTATAATGGAGAGATCATTGCACTGGTGTCTGGAAAGGAAAGTCTAGATTTTGGGATAACTGGCAAACTGGCTGTATGTTGTTGACTGAGTTATTTGACTTCTTGGTACCTCATTTTTGTTTCATTTGAAAATGGAAGATACTTTGCAGACTCTTGGCTGCATAGTCTTAGAGTCCCCACTTTTCCATAATCTATAATCACCATGTTACATGGCGCTGCTATTAAAGAGAGAATAGAATATGTCTCTAAAAATCTCTTCAGTAGAATTCCCTACTCTGTTCAGGACACTGTTCTTGTGTATAATACTCAACATTCTTCTCATAGTACAGGCGTTCACTAAACATTTATTAAATTGCCTTGAAACATTACAAAAAATTCAGTAAATGAATGAAGAGAAAAATCACCTCAGAAAATACATTAATAATTTGGGTGGCTATTTGAAATTAATAAAAAATATATTAAAAGAGATATTTTCATAATAATGACATGATGTGTATTTGTTCATACTTAATGGGATAAAAAAGAAAATAAAAGCAGGCCTATTGGCTTTGCCAAACACCGTTGACCAAAAGCAAGATATACTGAATGTTTACATTTGAAACCAGTTGAAAAACAATATGTATTGATTCACTGTGAATCATCTACTTCACTTAGCTTTAATGTCTTTGGAAATGAGAGGTTTTTTTTGTTTGTTTGTTTTACTTCATTGCAGTGCTTCTTCAGTGGTTAAGCATAACCAGAATTCTTACATTTGAGTCTGTTGGGAACACATACATGCAGGAATGGACACACACACATGCACACACGAATATGCACACACACACGAACACACAGACACATTGGATACACACATGCATACACATGTACATAATCAGATGTATCCACACACATCCTGGGGTTCAATAGAGCTCTTGGGCAGCCTACCCTGACTGCTATGTTCTGTTTGCATTCAGTCCTTTCTGAAAAATCCTTGAGACTATACAGATGTAAAATCTTATATGTTAAATAGAATTACATGATTTAGATTTCTGCTGACAACTATTTTTTACTGTATGCCATTATTTTGGCCGTAAGATCTAACTGCCTCTCGATATAGCTAAAAATATCAGCTGGTATAATTAATATCTTCCATTAATGACTTAAAAAACCATAATTATAGAAAATTCTGGGCCCCTGAACTGTGTGGAAGAAGACAATTAATCCCATAAATATAAAGAAGGCACCCTACTTAATATCATACAGAGCAATTACATAGCAGTGCATTCAACTCAATTCAATTTAACTCAGTTAGAAAATTTTAACATCATTAAGGCATGTCCACTTAAGCAGCAGCCCTCAGGTTTTGACTTTGTTTTTCCTGTCTCCCTCTCCCTAAGTACAACTCTAATTCAACACTCAGGAAATAATGTGTATTCTTTATATCTCATATCATTTGTAAACTATTTCATCTGAGAGCCCTAAAGGTTTCTACCTAAACGTAAGGAACCACTACTAGAATGTAGCATTCCATGAGCTGTGGTGAACACATTGGGGAGGTTTCTACTTTAACATTGGCTTTGTGATTTTGACTACTGCTTGGATTCCCAACTTTGAGTGTAGATTTTGAATTTTGCTGTGATTTCTTCAAAATTACAGGAAGTGGAACCTTACTTGCCTCTGTGTAGTCGTATTCCATGGTACTTTTTATCGGGAGCCACAGTGACTTTATGGGTGAGCATTGTTTAAAAACTATTATTATCTATTGATGTAAGATCATACTGGGATTACCTCAACAGTTTTGTCTGCAATGGCTCGAGTCCCTCTCTTCCCTCCCACTCCACAGTATTTTTTTTTATCTTGAATGGAGTTCTTATATAAAATAAACTGTAATTTACATGGATGTGCCATGATTAAACCTTGGATAAAGAGTTGGGGGGAGAGAGAGGTGCTTTATCTTAAAGCCCGTCCCTCCCCTTTCCCCCAGCTCTTTGTTAATTTGGTGATAACTTGAAACCAGAACAGTAAAATAAATAATTTGATTACAGACTATTTGTTTAGTTTTTAAAAAATAATTATTAATTTATCTTTTATCCATTTAACATACTTATACAAAATGAAAAACTTTATAACATTAAGGTTCATTCTCTTGCCAAGATAAATGGAAGAAAATGTTACATCTTCTACATGAAGAATTTAATTAGCGTATCCCCTTGTTAGGGAGTCAGATTTTTTCCATGCCTTTTACCTGACAGATTTCTCCATCATCATAATCTATTTCCTGCCCTCCCCTTTCAAAATTTATGTCCTCTTACAGTTGACCTTTAGTTTTAGGAAAACAGGCAAGGTTACCCTCTGAGAAGTTAGCCTGTTGAAGTATAAATAATTAGCAGTTGTAGACTGTATTTTAACCTCACCATTCCATATTGTCCTGTAATGTTTTATCTTTAACCTTTTTTGATAAAGTTATTGGTTTTTCTATTTTAAATGTGTGTTTTCCTAGATGATATAACAATCATTTTAGGAGAGATGATAGAATAAAAGGGGGTGATAATCAATTTGGGACATTCCTTGAAAAATATTCTGGAGTGTGGTTCCAGAAAGATCACTGTCATTTATTTCTAGTACTCATTCAATTTGATTCAGTTCCTCAACTTTCACAATAAAATTCTCCAATCATTGATATAAAGATCTTTGTGATTTTGTAATATGTAAAGGTATAAAATTTATACAAATATCTAAACTACCAGGCATATCAGACTACTAATGGCAGTATTCTGAGGGGAAATGAAATCGAATCTTTAAACGTATTTTTCTTGAGAAAGTAAATGATCTTCACACTACACATTTAACTACAACCTAGAGCAGAGGTTACCAAACATTTGCTGTAAAGGATATATTATAGGCTTTGTGGGCCACAAATCGTCTCTGACACATAATTGTCTTTATTTTTCTTTACAACCTTTAAAAATGCAAACAAACAAACAAAAAATATTCTTACCTTAAGGGCCACGCAAGAACAGGTAAGGCCACAAACAGACTCTGGCTTGCTGGTAGTTTTCCAACTCGTTCTAAAGGATAGACCTAGAGGATGGTCAATGAATACTTTTCTATTTTCGATTTACTCAGCTGCTACCATACGCTTATCGCTAACCCTTTTACATTCCTAGTTTTCATTTCTTGCCATCTATGGTGAGAGGGACTGACTTGGCTTGCTTTCCATGTCAGATCTGCTAAACTTAATATATGAGTTGAAGAGAAGAGTATGTTTCAGATATATATGCATCACAGGGATTCAGAAATGAGAGTGACCAGTTTTTGTTTCCCTTCCCCAGATGTCTCTGGTCATTGCGTGTATGGTAGCTGTGATTGTATACCGCCTGTCAGTCTTTGCTACATTTGCTAGCTTCATGGAAAGTGAAGCATCCTTAAAGCACGTCAGAAGTTTCCTCACTCCCCAGATAACCACATCTCTTACTGGATCGTGCTTGAACTTTATTGTCATCTTGATCTTGAATTTCTTTTATGAAAGGATATCTGCCTGGATTACAAAAATGGGTAAGCCGGCCAAATCATTAGTATGACTCTGAAAAAGGGTTCCTACCAATGCTATACCTCCATTCTGGATAATCCCCAAGGGAGATCGTTTTTGTTTTGTTTTGTTTTGTCTCAAACTAGTTTCTTTAGTGGTTCCATTTTCACTCCTCAATAGATTTTATGTATTTCTCATAGGCTTCTTCACTCATTAGTTCATCTAGTTCTGAAGGGTTACTGAGTGTCATCTTGATCAGCCAACCATCTTCATAACAAGATTTGTTGACAAGTCCTGCATTTTCTGCTAGAGCTTCATTAATTTCAGTTACTTCTCCTGATAAAGGAGAATAGAGTTCACTAGCAGCTTTCACACTTTCCAAAGCACCAAATTCCTCTTGTTTGTTCAATTTTGTCCCAACTTCAGGCAGAGTACAGTAAACAACATCTCCCAAAGCTTCCTGGGCCAAATTGCTGATTCCCACTGTTCCAAAACCGTTTTCTGTTGTTGCCCATTCATGTTTGTCTGTGAATTTACAGCCCGGCAGCAGAGCGGGGCCGGTGCGTAGCGCCCGGATGGCGCCCGCCCGCAATCCCCAGGGCTGCAGCGGGCAGGGCGCATTGGGCGCAGAGATGGCACGCAGGCTGCAGACTGCGGCCCGCACGCTCTGTGCCACTCGCAGCGCCATGTTCGTAGGGGTGCAGAGGGTCTCCGCGCGCCTGGAGTTCATTTTTTAAAGGCACATTTTAAGGCAGTTTTGCTCTACAGATAGACCCATAGCCTGGTACTTCAGAATCCCCTAACAGCTACATTCAGGCCTATTATAGTGGAAGCAGGAAAAATAACTAAAAAGAATTAGGACTCTGTAGATCTTTTGGAGTATTCTTACCTTAATCCTTCCTTGATGGGGTTAGTTGAAGCCTAAATAAAATCCTCACATGTTTCTGAAGACACAGATAATTTTTATTTCATGTGTATGGTGTTTAGAAGGTATTGGATTTTGAAAACCATTGTGAGGAAAACAGAACAATCAGGTCCTCCTGAATAAATCTAAAAGTTAGTGCTTCTCTTTTCAGTTGTCATGTGTTAGAACCTGGATTATGTTCTTTTAAAAAGTTCTTCTAAAGCCATGAGTGAAGGTGAAGGGGTCACAGGTGGAGTGGTAGGTTCAGTCAGGAAGACTAGCACAGAGCACTGTTGCTCCTGGCCTTGCCCCCAGCAAGTTGGAGATGAGATCAGAGACTCAACTCCAGGCCTCAGCTTCTTCTGGGACTGCTTTCTCCAGGAGCTCATGCCCCCCTCCTCTAAATCTTTACACTGACAGTGTGCCCAGTGGTAACCAAAAAGGCAGCACAGTATTTACTCAGCACTGGGAAGCAGCTGTCATTAAATACTATTTTCAAATTTGGAGCTCTTCTCTCTCAGTTTTGCTTATTTTTTTCTGCTAGCAACAGCCAAAAAATAAAAAATTATAGCAATTAGCACCTACAAACAAAGCACCTAAAAAATATCTCAGCTTTTGTCAATGAGAAAAATCTCTTGTATTCACATTAGAGATTTTGTAGAAATGCAGCTAAATTTCAGTAAAATGGAAGCATTATCTGTGTCTTTAGAATATGTGTTACTATTTCAGTGTTGCTGAAAATGTCATGGATTTGGCTGGATCAGCTTGTGCTCTTGGGAGATCATCAGTTCAGAAAAGCATGGCCCCTTACTCTTTCATGCCTCATGTTTTTTTACTGTGGTGTGAAGAGACTCTAACATTTTCTTATCTTTGGAATTCATAAAATGATATATCATGATCATGCATTTTAAGTAAAGGAGAGGGAAAATATGTACTATTACTGCCACCGTTTGCATAACATTGTTTTCAAAACTGATAAAGCCGTTTAATTCATGAGAGGAAAGCACAATTCAGTTTGAAATCATCCGCTGCCCTTCATAAGATTTACTTTGTTTACACCTCATTGAAAACAGAGGAGCGAGATCTGATGTGTTTACAGGGTATCATATAGTGTTACGGGGATAAGCATGAGGCTCTTCAGTCTAATAGGCACTTGAATTCCATATTTTGACTGTGTGACCCCAGGCAAGTACTTCATCCCTCTAAATGTACTAATGACGGTTTCTCAGCCTTCTCTGCTGATTAGATTAACACACAATCTCTAATTGAAAGCCTAGTGCACATCCATAGCTACTTAATATTGGTCACTTATGACCAGAGTGGGGAAGATTTCAACAGACTCTCAGAATAATATGACTAGATATCCACTTATCCCAGGGAGTAAAAAAAAATGAGAAGCAGGAAGGTGCATTATTAAACTTTGGTGTTTTTTATTTACCAGAAATTCCTCGGACTCACCAGGAGTATGAGAGCAGTCTTACCTTGAAAATGTTCCTGTTTCAGTTTGTAAATTTTTACTCGTCCTGCTTCTATGTAGCTTTCTTTAAAGGGAAGTTTGTGGGCTACCCTGGAAAATACACATATTTGTTTAATGTGTGGAGAAGTGAAGAGGTAAGAATTCTCTAGAGAGGTGAGGTTTGTGGCTTCAGTAACTCAGTGTTAACTAAATCCCTTTAGGTGTGCCCCGCACTAACTCAGATTTTATTAAGCTGCAGGAAAAGTCTAAGACACTGACTGTCCACAGAGCATATTGGTCTTAGAATCCTGCTGTCTGATAGACTTTCCAGTTCGTTTTGGGCAAGAAGTTATATTGTACCTATTGTTTGGTATAAAATATGAACTATGAACTGGAATAAGTAAGTTCTGTATTCCTGAAGACTTCCATCAAAGGATAAATAACTTTCTAGAGGTACAGCAAAAAGGGCTCTACCACGGGTACAGAGTTAGAACAGTTCAGTGGTTTCCAAACCTGGCTGTGCATCCAGATCACAAGGAGAAAATAACAACTTCCAGCCCTAATCCAGATACAAAGATTAGGAATTTTCTAAGGCCCAGAAATCTGTTTTTAACATATTTCACAGCTGAATCTAATGTTGCTAGACTGGTGATCATGCTTGGAACTTGGAACTAAATATCCATTTATATTTCTTTAATATCTGTTCCAATGCAAATCTTCAGATTCTCACCCTCTGGTTTGGGATTTCTTTTGTTGCAGAAGTCCATCTTTCATCCTTTACTTTATTTTTCTCCTTTTTCTCCTTACTAGTGTGATCCTGGAGGCTGTCTAGTAGAATTGACAACGCAGTTGACCATCATAATGACTGGGAAACAGGTCTTCGGAAACATTAAGGAAGCCATTTATCCGTATGTATGACTTACAAGTTTTTGCTTTCTTTTAAGTAAGCATGAGAGATTTCCTCTGGAAAAAATGGAATTCTTTGATTATCATTGTGCCTTTGTTAGCTAATGTTTAAGTCAACAGCAACAAAAAAACTTCACTTTTAATCAGCAGTCAAGAATATATTGGGACTTCCCTGGTGCCACAGTGGTTAAGAATCTGCTTGCCAATGCAGGGGACACAGTTTCGATCCCTGGTCCAGGAAGATCCCACATGCCATGGAGCAACTAAGCCCATGCGCCAAAACTACTGAGCTTGTGCTCTAGAGCCCGCGAGCCACAACTGCTGAGCCCGTGTGCTGCAACTACTGAAGCCTGTGTGCCTAGAAGCCCGTGCTCCACAAGGAGAAGTCACCGCAATGAAAAGCCCGCGCACCACAACGAAGAGTAGCCCCCACTTGCCACAACTAGAGAAAGACCGCGCGCGGCAACGAAGACCCAATGCAGCTAAAAATAAAAATAATAATAAATTAATTAGTTAATTTAAAAAGAATATATTAAGGTAATACAGACTTTTAAATATACATCTATTGCTTGAGAAAGTTTAGGGAAAGGTAGTTATCTCTGTCTCCTGTGAAGTTTCCACTGGGAAATCTAAATGTTATATGCTCCGTAGGTTATTCTACATGTTCCATTTTATTTCTCAAAATTACTAAAAGTTGAATTCTTTAAAAATATCTGTGTGTCATGGACACATCTGTTACTGAACCAAACTTGGGTCCACTCACCTGCCTGCAGAAAAGCCAATCTACTGACACTGGGTTATGGTGAAGGAAATTGCAGTGTTTATTGTAACTCACCATACAAGTAGTCTGGGACAGCTAGTGCCTGATGGGTTTCAGGAAAGCATTTTCAAAGTCCAGGTGAGGGAGTAGGGGGTACAGGGTATGTGATCAGCTCATGCACAATTATCTGATTGGTTGATGATGAGGTAACAGGGCTGTGTCACAGGGGTTAACATTAGGCTCTAGTAGGTCTGGGGGCTACGTGCTCATGGTCATCAAGTAGTTAACATCTTCCATTTGGTGGGGGTTTTCACATCTGTAAAACAACTCAGGAAATGTGCATCAGATACTATTCTCTATTACTTCCGAGAGGAGCTAAAGCAGAAGATATGCGGAGGAGTCTGTCCCAGGAAGGCCCCATAGGGTCCTTCTCAGTTACATATCTAGGCACAGAAACTGTTTATGAATGAAATTCTGGCACATGAAGGAATCACTCTCTGTCCCCAAAGCATAGCAATAATGAATACATTATAAAAAAAGAAATCCAAAATGACAGTTGATCTCAAATGTAAGGTGAAAATTCCCATGGTTAAAAAGGGGAAGAATTAGGGGCTTCCCTGGTGGCGCAGTGGTTGAGAGTCCGCCTGCCAATGCAGGGGACACGGGTTCATGCCCCGATCCGGGAAGATCCCACATGCCACGGAGCAGCTGGGCCCGTGAGCCATGGCTGCTCAGCCTGTGCTCTGCAACGGGAGGGGCCACAACAGTGAGAGGCCCACATACCACAAAAAAAAAAATGAGGAAGAATTATAAGCCTGTAATCTTGTGGGGCTCTGAGTTAGGAAATTATAGTGTCAGGGTGTAGCACCTATAGGATGAAGTGGACCAAAAGTGCACCACTTAAGACAGGGGACTTGCCAGTTTAACTCTACTTAAAGCCAGGGACTGGGTGTACTCTTACTTACTCATGAAAGATGGTTGAAAGCACCCTCCCCCTCTCTCACCCACTGCCACAGTTTCATAGTACTCCTGGGGTGCTATTTCATGTGCTGACAAAGGAAGAACATAGATGTATACTTTCAAATGGTATTTGATACACCACATCCCTAATATTGCCACAGAGAAATAATACCAAACTCTTATTTTAAATCCTAGCTCTAGATCGAGAATCTGGAGACAGAATGGAGGTAACCCCTAAACCAAACACAAGAGGGAAAATAAATAAATATGCAGAGAGGAAAAGAGACAGGACAGTAAAAGAAACAAGTAAATTTAAGCCTACAGACCAAAATTCAAAAACTTACAAGATTTAATGCTACAAAGGCCACTAACAAAATCAATTCTTAGAAAGTGAACTTACTCCAGGTAGGAGATTCTGGCAAAGCCTAAAAACATAAAAGAAGATGATACTGTCAATAAAAAGGATAAGGAAATAATTTAAATTAAAACAGATATAAATGAAACAAGAACAAATGAATATGGGCTTCCCTGGTGGTGCAGTTGTTAAGAATCCGCCTGCCAATGCAGGGGACGCAGGTTCAAACCCTGGTCCGGGAAGATCCCACATGCTGCAGAACAACTTAGCCCATGCACCACAACTACTGAGCCTGCGCTCTAGAGCCCATGAGCCACGACTACTGAGCCCACGTGCCACAACTACTGAAGTCAGCATGCCTAGAGCCCATGCTCCGCAGCAAGAGAAGCCACCACAATGGGAAGCCTGCGCACTGCAATGAAGAGTAACCCCTGCTCACTGCAACCAGAGAAAAAGCCCACGTGCAGCAATGAAGACCCAACATGGCCAAAAAAAATAAATAGAATAAAATAATAAAGTAAATAAATTTTAAAAAGAAAAAATGAATTTGAAAAAGAATTAATTATTAAATGTAAAATCATACTTTAAATAAAGAGAACAATAGATGGTATCAATTACAGATCAGACACAATTGAAGAATGAATTAGTTAATTGGAAAATAGTACTGAGAAATTCCCACATTGTACAGTGCAACAGAGAGACAATGAGGTTAAAAATATTAAAGTGACAGGAGGCTATATAGTGGCTTCTACATTAATCTGCTAGTAGTTTCAGAAAAAGAAAATTGAGTAAATAGTGTAAGAAAAAATCCTTTGAATAGGTAATTGCTGAAAATTTTCCAGAAATGAAGAAAAACATGAGTTCCAGAAATGGAAATAAATCCTGAGTATGAAGCAAAATAAATAAAATTAAATTCACACCCAGATATGTTATGGTCAATCTACAGAACATCAGAGATAAATAATCTTAAAATCTTTCAGAAGAAAAGGGAATGCCATCTACATTCAATAGATTTCTCACTAATAACATTAGATGCAAAAGTATTTTTAAGATTCTTAGTGAAATAAAATGTTCACCTTAGATTTCTAGAAGCATTTTAACTATTACATAAAGTACAGGTGAAACAAAGGCATTTTTAGACATGAAAAAACTAAGAGTTTACATTCGTAGACCCTCATTGGAAGAACTACTGAAAAAAGAAATGAAAGTGTGTAATGCAAGAAACATTGGTTAGTACAGCAATTGGTAACTCAAAAAAAAGTAGTACTTTGGTATAAATCTTTAAAATATATGAGATTTGTATGCTGAAAACTACAAGTCCTGTTGAAAAACAAATTACATCTATGTGAGTGGAGAGAAACGTGTTGATGGATTGGTAGACTCAACTTAGAAAAGATGCCAGTTATCCCCCAAATTGATTAATAGATTTGTTATTCCAATCAAAATATCAGTAGGATTTTAGTAGATATAGATAAATAGATGCTAAAATTTATACTGAAGGCAAATGAACTAGAATAGTCAAAACAAATTTGATAAAGAAGAATAAATTTGGAGGAATTACACTGTTCAATTTTACGACTTACTATAAAACCATTTAAATCAACGTGGGATTGTTGAAGGGATAGACATATAGGTCAAATGGAACAGAGATTGAAGAAATAAATGCATGCAAATATGGCCATTTTCTAAAGGTGCAGAAATAATTCATTGAAGAAACAACAGTCTTTTCAATAGCTGGTGCTGGAACAACTGGACATCCATATGCAAAATAACAAACCTCCACAAGTTAGTTCAAAAATTAACTCAAAATGGATCATAGATGATAAAACCATTTTTTTTGAGAAAGCAAGGAAGTGATTACAGAATTCAAGATGAGGGTTACTATGTGGGGATCAAGGTGTTTGTAATTGGAATGGAACACATAGAAGCGCTTCTGTGATTCCTAGCGAAGTTCTCTTTCTTGAACTGGGTGGTCTCTTTTCCTTTGTGATTCCAGTTACGTGCATGCCCATCTTTCTGATATTGTCTCAGAAATCTCAGGTGTTCTTTTCCCTTTTTAGTATTCCTTTTTTCTTTGTATTTCGGTTTTGATATAAGCAGAATATGTGTTCCTTTTTTTTTTTTTTTTTTGCATTACGCGGGCCTCTCTCTGTTGTGGCCTCTCCCGTGTGGAGCACAGGCTCCGGGCGCGCAGGCTCACTGGCCATGGCTCACGGGCCCAGCCGCTCCGCGGCATGTGGGATCTTCCCGGACCGGGGCACGAACCCGTGTTCCCTGCATTGGCAGGCGGACTCTCAACCACTGCGCCACCAGGGAAGCCCTATGTGTTCCTTTTAATTCACACATTTGCTACAGTATTTCATATTGTCTTATTTGTTAATTTTTGCCAATTTGGAGGGTGTAAATGATACCTCATTTTGGTCTTAATTTCATTTCCCTGATTAAGAACATGAATGAGTCTCTTTTGACCATATGTTTTCTCTTCAATGAAGTGCTTATTTGTGTTGTTTAATCATTCTTCTACTTGTATATTTATCTTTTTCTAATTGATTTGTAGAAATACTGTATAACTCTGGTTATTGTGTTTTTGTTTGTTTGCTTTTTGGTTATATGTGTTGCAAATATTTTATCCCAGCACAAGTTTTGTTTTTTTATTTCTTAATAGTATCTTTTTTTCGGTACGTGGGCCTCTCATTGCTGTGGCCTCTCCCATTGCGGAGCACGCTCTGGACACGCAGGCTCAGCGGCCATGGCCAACAGACCCAGCTGCTCTGCGGCATGTGGGATCCTCCTGGACCAGGGCACGAACCCGTGTCCCCTGCATTGGCAGGCGGACTCTCAACCACTGTGCCACCAGGGAAGCCCCTTAATAGTATCTTTAATCACAGTTTCTCATCTTCAATACTATTGACATTTTGGACCAGATAATTGTTTGGTGTGAGGTGCTGTCCTTTGCGTTGTAAGATATTTTGCAGCTTCCTTGAACTCTACCCGCTATATGCCAGTAGCCCACCTTCTCCCCAGTTGTGACAGCCAAAAATGCCTCCAGATACTGCAAAGGTCCCCTTGTGGGCTAAATCACTTCCAGTTGGGAACCACTGCTGTAGATGGACAAAAGTAGATACTTTTAATATAACAAAATTTTTATCAATCTTTTCTTTTATGGTTTAGTATTTTTAAAGTCTCGTTTAATACACCCTTTCCTACCTTAAGATCAAAAACCTATTCTCATATAATTACATCTAAATATTTTTAGCATTTTAACATTATTGTTGCCTTTCTCTTTTAAATTCTTAATATACATGGAAAAGATTTTTGTGTTTGATATGAAGGTCAAATTTAATTTCTTACACACACACATATATATATCTATATATATACATATATATTATACATATATAATATATATCATGTTACCATTTATTGAGAAGTCCCTCTTCCCCCACTCTCCATGATCTGCAATACCATGTATGCCAAATGGCAATTACAAGGCTATTACTAGGCCTCATTCTGTTCCAGGATTTGTCTATCCCTACACCAATACTACACTCTCTTAATACAGCTTTATAATAACTCTTCCTATCTTGTGGGACAGGTTTTACCAACTTATTCCTCATCTATAGAATATCTTGGCTATCCTTTGTCTTTTGTCTTTCTGTGTAAATTTTAGAAACATCTTGTCAGATTTCACATGGGAAAGTATTTTGGTTTTTTGACTGAAATTACATTCCAGTTGTTTCAATAAAACAACTGACATTTTATTATGCCAGGTCTTTTTATTCATGAACATTTAGTTTGGACTTTAATGACTTCAAATAAATATTTAAACTTTGTCATACAGGTCTTATAAATCTTTGGTCAAATCCATTTCTAGGTACTTTTCATTTTAATTGCTATTGTAAATGGTATCTTTCTAAAAATTATATTTTCTACCTGTGTTTTGTGGGTATATAGGAATGCAATATAGTGATAAACTCTATTATTATTTCTAATAATTTTTGTCTAACTTCATTGGGGTTTTCTATGCAGATAATCCATTCACATTACTGTTAGTAATCATAGATGTCTCCTCTATTTCCAATTCTTTTGCCTTTTTCTTTTTCATTTTATTGTGCTGGCTAAGATCTCCAATAAAGTCTTGAATGTGATCATACACGCCCTTATTTTGTTCTTGATTGTAAAGGGAATGCTTCTCACTTTTCCCTATTAAGAGTGATGTTAACCCCAGGATTTTGGTAGATGCTTTTGGTCAGATTGAGGTAATTTTCTTCTTTTCCTACTTTTCAGTCATAAATAGGTTTTAGTAGGTGATTGAAATATATCAAATGCATTTTTCTTCATCAATCAACATGATTTTACATTTTTCTCCTTAAATTTGTTAATATGGTCTCTTACATTGATTGTGTTTCTGATAAAAATAATCTTTTTGTTCCTTAAGTAATACAATATTATCAGGATATATTTTATATATATAGAATTTAGTTAGGTAATATTTTATTTAGGATTATTGCATTTATTTTCATGTGTTAGATAACCTCTTCGTCCCCTAGTCATACATTTTCTATTGTAACCCACTTCTCATTTCCCCAAGTGGCCTTCTGAGTATCATGACAACATAAAGGTTAGTGAATTAAATAGATAAAAACCATCCTGTAGTGATCCTCTCCTCCACGTGCTCTTTAACAGAACTGTCTCTGAGTAAATACATTTCCCTGCAGAGAGTCAGGGTTGTCTTACTTTCTCAATCACCCAAGTAAAGATCTTTTGCCTCATCAAGTACTGTGAACAGAACACAAGATTCTGACTTGGACTTTAGCTGTAGTCTTACCTCTACATGTTCTGTGATCTAAACTTACTTACCCTCCCTTACCGCTGTTTTTTAGATCTAAGACTGATTCTCTGACCCCTTTCTTTTACCTATTTCTTTTACCTATTCTCTGACCCCTTTACCCTGTTTCATGTATTTACTTTTATCACTTCCAACAGCTTGGTTCTGAATTGGTGGAGACGCCGAAAAGCTCGAACCAACTCTGAAAAGCTATACAGTCGATGGGAGCAGGACCATGACCTTGAAACTTTTGGTTCTCTCGGGCTATTCTATGAGTACTTGGAAACAGGTAATTTTCAACCACTGCCTTGAAACATGGAATAGACTGAGTAAAATAAGTATTTTTCAGCTCTTAATATTTCTTCCTACCTTGCACATAGTAGGTGTTCAGTAAATCATTGGCTAGTGGATGAAAAGATAGATGGGTGGGTATGGAAAAGATTGGTTCAATATTTCTATTTCCCACCAAATAGAATGCAGAATGAAATTAATTTCAAAACACCAATCTCAGAGATATTTTTCCTATCAATTTAATGTTAATACTGTTGAACCAAATAAAGTAAGGATCACTTTTTTTTGTGGAAACAATCAAAATATTTATTGACAGATGAATGGATAAAAAATGTGGTATAAATATACATATAATGGATTTTTATTTTATTCAGCCTTAAAAAAACCAAATCCTGCTCTACGTGACAACATGGATGAACCTTGAGGACACTATGCTAAATCAAATAAGCCAGTCAACTGTGTGATTCCACTCCTACTCACATGAAGTACTTAAAATAGTCAAACACATAGAAGCAGAGATAGAATAGAGGTTGCCAGGGGCTGGGGGGAGGGGGAAATGGAAACCCTCCCCCCCACTTCAAATAACAAGGGCAGATTTGTTTTAACCTAAAACAGAAGAAATGAGTGCCAGTTACAAACATTCATACAAATCTCCAATATCAATTCTTGAGAAAGATCTTAATTTAATACCTTGTCCAACTAGATTATTTGGCTTAGGTTTTCATTTTGTTTTGTTTTGTTTTGTTTTGTGGCAGAGTCCTAACCACTGGACCACAAGGGAATTCCCCTTGGCTTAGTTTTATAAGGCAGAACACTGTCTCTCCCTCCGTGTCCACAGGAGAAAGGGAATGTTGCCATATCTTTTCTGAGTCTCTTTTTGTTAACTATGAAGACTTGCATTTTGTAAGGCTAATCTCTGGAATTCTGTTATAAGTAAGGATCAGTTTTTAATACCTGTCTCAAATTAGTTTAAGTAGCTTTCTCCTTCCATTTGCCTCAGTGACTGCTCATAGAAAGAATACGTTGAAAAATATTTACAGAGCCTGACATACATTTAGTGTATGTCCCTTGTTTCAAGCTGAAAAGAAGGCAAAAAGCAGTTATGCAAGGGAAACCCAAATTGAACGCAAGAAATGCATAAAATACTCTTAAGGATTGAAAAGAGAAGAGACCTTGAGATGAAATTTTAGGAGAGATAATAATGGGGACTGCTTGTGGAGTCTATCCAGGGTGTTTCCTCTCAGATGTCCTTCTCTGCTTCTTTGGTGGAATTAAAGAGGACTGTTTTCCCAACTCATTCTCATGGCCCATAAATGTCATGGTAGAATAATGGAGATGACCTGAATTTGTTACCGATTCTCCACTGTAACACATACATATGATACCTGGATTAAAATAGGTACATCAGGACAAATAAGAAGAAGTCTCCAGTTATAAAATTAGGTAGTCCTTGCTTTATGGAGTGATAAGGCTGTAATTTTTAATTAATTGCTTATGTTTCAAGTGAATTTGTACATAAATGTATCAGAGATTATAACTGAAATTAAACGATGAAATCAGGGTTTCATAACAAGATTACCATTTATTGAGACACCACTAAGAGTTAATTTATTCTGGATATTTTACATACATTATCTCTAATCTTGAAACATTCTACAGAAATAGTCATTTTATCTTAGAGGGTACTGAAACTTGGATAGATTAAGTAATTTGCCATGGGCCACAGAGATTATAGGTAAAGATCTGGGATTTGAACCTAGAAATTCAAGCTGTTTCTACATAATACTTTGTCTTAACTTTCTATTTCTTGGTTCAGTAGAGAAGTCAGGAAGGAGGCAGTTTGTTCCCTTGGCTTAGTAGATGACAAGACTGATTCTAATGAGAAATCTTATGAGAAAAGCTGAAATCCAGAAACACTCAAGATCTAACTAAATATAGAGGACTAGTGGAAGATTCTTTTTTTCTTTTTTCCTTCAATGGAAAGCCATTTTTTATATCTCTTATTATATTTTCTTCACTCATGTGGGAAGCCCAGTTTGCCAGCTGCATGGATTCTTTCACCCCAAGCACTGATGGAAACAAAGGAAGAAAAATGGAGGGAGAAGCTAGCTTACACAGGTGTTAAGCCTCAGTGAGGAAAGAGAGTAAAACTTATTTAGAAAGAGGTCAAGTTAGTACAGAGGATCAGGGCCTTAACAAATACCTCATTCCAGGATATGTATATTTCCTTTGCCCACATATATTTCTGATGCTTTATATGATTCATTTCCTGATTTGTTGTCAGATATCTTGTTTGTTCTACTTTTCCTCTGTTAACATCTTCAAATCTTAAATAATGCATTTGTTCATAAGGCTTATAGTTGAGTGTTTTTATATACCCCAAACATACAAATGAGTCAATCATTATCCCTGATTTTAAAAAGTACATAGATTAGCAAAATAGAAAACTTGATTACCCCACTGATGTGCCAATACCCATGTAAATGCTGGGGTAGCATAGACCTAAACATAGCCCATAATAAAAGACTGTGTTTTAAGAATAATAACAATATCTTATCTAACAAGAATAAATGCTTTCTTCAGACAAGCAGGTCTCAAAAGAAACAGCAGGGATGGAGCTGGGCTGTACATGACCAGCTCAACAAATAAGTCACTGTGCTTCCTATAGGGAAGAGGATGTGGACAGCTGGAAAGAGGCCTGGAGTGTTTTGCTGATGTAGATCCCTCCAAAATGAGGGAAGTAGCAGGAGTTAGGCAGAGTGTTCCCTGTTTTCCCCTCCACAATAATGAGTTTGTGAATTTTTCTTTTATCCCTGCAGTTATCCAGTTTGGATTTGTTACATTATTTGTGGCCTCTTTTCCTTTGGCTCCTCTTCTTGCTCTCTTGAATAATATAATAGAGATTCGAGTGGATGCCTGGAAGCTTACTACTCAGTACAGGAGACCTGTAGCTGCTAAGGCTCATAGCATAGGTGTTTGGCAAGACATTCTTTATGGAATGGCTGTCCTTTCTGTTGCAACTAATGTAAGTAGCCTATTTCAGTGGAATAACTACTTTTTTTCTTTCCTTGAGGATGGGGAGATGTGAATGATGTTTAACTCAATCTTTATTTACATTGATTTCATCATGGTCCATAAAGGTAAAACATCCCTAAACTTTTATGTGCTAAACAACATAGGCAACTCTATGACATGCAAACTCTTAGATATACAAGGAAAATTGTAAAAACATGCTTATTAAAATACCATGATATAGTTTCATAGCATGTGACAAAGTAGACAGAAAATAAGTAATGGTATAAAGGATTTAATCATACAATTAAAGCTTGATTATACATAAAGTTGTGTACTACATACAGAATACACAACATTTACCTGTCATTTTTATGGAGCACTTATTAAAAATGATAATAAAACTGAATTCCCAAAAGCAGAAATTTTACAATGAATATTCATCTACAATAATGGTATAAAAAATGAAGTTGATAATAAGATAGCCAAAAAAGAAAATTTAACCACTTAACATTCACACTTCCAAGGAAGCTTACTGTACAAAGATGAAATCAAATTGAAGTTATAAGGAAAGCTTAATTAAAATGAAAGCCTATCAAAATTTTCCTAGCTGATTTTAGGAATCAGCCAGAACCATATTTATAAAAACTGTATACCAATAAGTGCTTTTATTATTGAAAAAGGAGAAGGAAACCATAAGCTGAACATGTAACTTATGAAACTAAGAAAAAATGTAAAACTAATCAATAGAAAGTAGTAAGAAAGAATTAATGAAGATATAAACAGAAATAAATTAGAAAACAAACAAAAAGCAGTATAATTGCTAAATAAGTTGAGTTGGTTCATTGAAAAGATGAAATAAACAAAACTGAAAATCTCAAACAAAAAAAGAATTATGGGGTACAAGTGAGAAAATTATAAGAATGTTATGTATGCATTTATTCTAATAATTTTTAAATCTATTTGAAATTGTCACTTTTTTAGAAATAAAACTGCCAAAATATATTCAGTAAGTGATAATAAAACATGAAATGGACCAGTAACTATAGAAGCAATATTAAAAGATTTTAAAAATCTACCACTAAATATGTAGATGGCAGAGCCAAATGGTTTTAAATTGACTTATCTTACCTAAAGGAAACATGACATTTATAGTATTCCAGAGCTTAGGAAAGGATGGGAAAATACCATTCCTGTGGCATCAAATACTGAAATTAATTGCACTGAACTGTGGGAAATTTACCAGTACGGTCTTCTATTTTTTCATTCTCTATTCCCTCCACACACACACACACACACACACACACACACACACACGTCCAGGCCAGTAAATTTGGTTAAGAAATGTAAGAAATAGCAAGCCATGATGGAAGTAGATAGACACAGGCATGGTGTTTCTGGAGACAGATACATTTAGGTTAAATTTTCAATGTAGCACTTTCTAGCTATGAAATCTTGGAATACTGATTATATACTGTAAGTGAGCTATTTTATGTTCTAGATCAAAGACTCATATATTAACTTGATTAATAATAGCATTCTAATCATTTTGCATCCATAAGACATATGGAACTGAAAGATATACAAGTCAGACATTTGTAAAACTGCATTGTTAGCTCACAATCTCCCTCTTGTTTTGTCCTTTAGGCTTTTATTGTTGCATTTACATCGGACATGATTCCCCGTTTAGTTTACTACTATGCCTACTCAAAAAATGACATTCAGCCTATGAAAGGGTATGTCAATAACAGCCTGTCAATATTCCTGATAGCCGATTTTCCAAACCACACTGTACCTTCGGAAAAACGAGACTTCACCACTTGCAGGTTTTCTCTTGTTTTCATTTTGCTTTTTAAATGTATTTCTTAAGTTCTCCATTTCCTTCATGTCTTACAAAAAAAAATTTACTTGAGGCGGTAAAAATCCTGGGTAAAGTGCATGAATTCTAGAATTCACACACTGTATGGTTCTGATTTGGAAAAGTAGAATGCCCAAAAGTAAGATAATGTTATGGGTAAAGATAATGTCAATTTTGAATTGTTTCTTATTTTCCAAGTTTATTGGAAAATTTTTCTTCAACAAATACCTCCTTGGTCCCAAGTTGTAATGTCTGTAATCATACAGCATGGTCATATTTTACGTGCATTTAACCTACTTGAATTTAACTATGTGTCCTCAAAAAGAGGCAGAGTAAGGAAGAGAGAAATAACAATATGATTAGTTCACCAGCCATCCCATTTAAAAGGTTTCTTCATGTAGGGAGTGTGAACTTGGATTTGTAAGCCTGCTGCTTTCACACTCAGTGTCTCACGTACTGTGAGGATCTTTTTACTCTAGGATTTAAAGATTATATATATTTATTTATATATGTGTGTGTATGTATGTATATATATATATATATATATATATATATGGTACATCAAGTCTTTTAAACTTAAACCTTAAACCAACTGCTTCATCTGAGATTCCAACAACAATAACAACAACAAAAAAACAGAAAAATGTTGCAACACAAGTAGACAAAAACATTGTTATATTCTATATTTATATAGAGAGGAATCATAACATGGGCAACTGTCAGATTTCTTAATGTCATCACTTCCTACCTGAACTAAATCTTTGAACATTAATATCTAGACACTTGCAGAAAAAAATGAACTCACAAATTGAACACCAAGAAAACCCCAGAAAGATAATAAGGAAAACAAAAACAATGCAGTGTCATATAAGCCGAGAAAATAGAGTTTCAAGAAAATAGGAATGGTCAACAATGTCAAGTTCTGTTCTTCACAGGTCAAATAAGATCTGGATGAAACTGTTCGTTCAGTTTAATGATAGGAGACAGTTGGTGTCAGTGGAGTGATGATAGAACTAAGTGTGTTAAGGAGTAGGAAGAGAGGGAATGGAATGGAAAGAGCAAATTTTGCTGTAACTCTCTAGAGAAATTTGTCTCTGAAGGACAGGAGAGCAGTTTCACTTGTGTCTCCTGCTACATGTATACTATACAAAAGTAACATATGGCTATTCTTTTTATCTGTATAGGAAAGATAAATGTTTCATAATAGCAATTATTTTCCTTTGACTTGACTTTTGTCGTCAACTGAAAGGGTCTCTTACAAGAAATAATATGAATTTATACTAGGTCTCTTTGTTTGAAGTTATAGCTTATATTTTGCATTTACTTCCATTTTTTTCAGGTACAGAGATTACAGAAATCCTCCTGATCACGAGGAGAAATATTTTCATAGTATGCAGTACTGGCACGTCCTTGCTGCTAAGATGACCTTCATCATAATTATGGAGGTGAGCCTTTATTAACTTTCATGCCAGTTAGTGTCTTTTCTCCCTTTAGGCATATATTTCTAAGCATATTTGTTCTGCAGAAAATTAGCATTATCTCAATAGACTATTTTGAAGGAAGTATTTGTTCTCATAAAAAGTAAGTTAGGAATATTTTAAGTACAGTGGATTGCCTATTACTCACTTACTCTTGTTGAAGATACCAAGGTAACAGGAAAGAAAAAATAAGACCTCTTTCTTTGAGGTCAGTCAGAGGGCAGAGGACCCACTTATTTTACTGAATACCTATTATTAATAAATAGTGGTTCCAGAGGCTATAATAATAACTTTGTTAGTTTGGCTTTATTATTCACCCTTGACAAATGAATCCAACAGTCAGCAAAATTAGTTAGTTGGTTTAAAGATAATCGGCTAATATTAGAGCTGGGTTTCAATGCCAGATGTCTCACTGCCAAGCCTCTGCTCTGTCCACTATATTATGTTTCCTACCTTGTGGAAAATCTAGGGTAATTATGGATATAAGACATGCAATTCAAAAGAACCAATACAGAGAGGGTATTTGACTAAGTTACAAATTGAGTGCTACAAATCATAAGACATGAAGGCCGATAAGGGAGAGATAAATAAATGTTAGGCATTTTTTCACTCGACAGTAAAGGCCAATAATAGACTAGATAAGTCTAATGCAAGAAAACACAAACTCCTATCAGTTTTTGTTTAATTTGCTTTATTTTTATCAAGGTTATACATGTAAGTAATTTAAATCCAACCCCTCTCAGTTCCTTATGAATTTATCACTTTCATTCCCACATTTTCCATCAGCGGTTTAGATCATCTTTCAGCCTGGTAAATTGCAAAAGGAATTCTTTGGAATTTTTGTTTCTGTTTATTTTTTTTGATCATCCCAGGCTCCGACTCACCATCATTCTGGAAGTCCTCTTCAACTTCTCTTATAATGAATACTATATTTTCTTCAATCTATTTTTCTCCCATTCTTGAATTACTAGCTTATTTTGATAAAGCACATCTTTCATTAATTTTCTGAGGAAAATAATGGACAATTTTTGAGAACTTGAATATTAAAATTTCTTCTTTTTCCGCATAGATAATTAATTGGTATAGAATTTGATTAAAAATCATTTTCCCTGAAAATTTTTGAACCAACTTTTTTTAGGTATTCCTGAAATTTTCCAAGACATTGCTCTATTTTCTTTCAGCTTCTAGTGTTGCTATGAAGTACAATACCATTCTAATTTATCCTCTTAATTCCTATGTGTGTGCTTCAGTCTTACCCTTTCATATTAGAGACTATCTTACGTATTTGGTTGTTCTTGGCAATCTGCTCATATTTAAGAGTGAAGCAATGAAAGCTGATTATAAGCTTTGTGTGCATACAGGAAGAACGTCACTTGGGTGGCCTTCACTGTAGGTGATAAAGGGGCCTTTTCATTTGAGACCTATAAAATTTTGATATCTATAATTCTGACTTCTCTGATTAGTTATTTTTCCCAGAGAAAAATCCTCCAACCTCCTGTTTGTTGAGCTATTTCATGACTGTGTTGAGAGCCAAGAAAGGCAGGAGGGACTAGAGATCTCTTGGTTCAGAATGCTGAATTGCATTGAGTTGCCCTCTTTTCAGTATGGTGCCACACCTCCATCTTTTGCCATCTCTGCTGCCTGTGAGTTCACAGCTCTCTGTCTTAATTTCTGCAGAAAATAAGGTACTCAGTTGCTGCCAGGGTGGCATTAGAGAGAAGTAGTTCCTGAACATTTTTGAGAGAGAGGCTCTGAAAATTCATCTGCCCCTTATACAAATTTTTAAATAAGCCTCTTATTTTTAACTCCACCCACACTACACCTTCAAAGTCCTTAGTTGAACTTTTCTGAACTTTTCTGATGATTTGAAACAAAATTGACTTTTGTCTTGATTTCTACCATCACTGTATCACCAACTGCAAGTTTAAGTGCCAGCTTTCTTCACTCTCTCGAGTCTGTTATCACTGTTTCCTCCCTTTTTTGTGTGTCTTTGTGAACAATACAATTTTTAAATTTCTTTACAAATATTTTATTCGGTTTTCAGGAGGAAGCATAGATGAAGAGTATATTCAATAACCAAGTTCAACTGGAATCTCTGTAATCACATATTTTAGTATATATTTGTTTGCTTAATGTTGGTCTTTGTAGGAAAGTTCCAGGGCAGGGACTATATCTCTTTTTTTTCCTTCTAGCTACTGTATCGAGCACAGTTTGTTGAACGAATGAAACAATTTGTACGAACATCTGCTGAACATTTGACAACTCTAGCAGTGTGTCTGATTTTCTTTTGTTTCCTCTAGCATGTTGTGTTTCTAATGAAATTTTTGTTGGCGTGGATGATCCCTGATGTTCCAAAAGATGTTGTGGAAAGAATCAAGCGAGAAAAGTTAATGACTGTCAAGATTCTCCATGACTTTGAGCTTAACAAACTAAAAGAGAACTTGAGAATGAATTCTAGTGATTTTGCCAAGCATCTCATTATTCAGGAAAACAAAGTACAGCTTGCTAAATCAGCAACCTAATCAACATAACAAGTAAGTGGCTGGTTGCCTGTCTGACTTCACAGTTTTCCCTGGGTTTGGGGCCAGAAGCCAGAAGCTGTGTGTCAATTTTACCCTTTCTTCTTTTTTGCTTAACTCAAAGTTTTTGTACACTCATATAGAGGCCAACTTAGTGGAGGCTGGAAGAATACCACTTGTCTGCTTCATTGGCTGGGCCCTCCCCCGATACTGTTTTCTGGGGTTCTATAAATGATTGTTAAATGGACGTGTGAAATCAGAATATTGGAAGATCATGGGATGTTGCAGTTTAGAATTAAACACTGGACGTGAACTGTCCCATCGCCTTCCAGTGCAGCTGCACATTTTCATGGTCTTCATTCTATTGGGTTGTGTTATATCTCTGTCCCATCAAGAAAAGTATTGGAACAAAAAGAAAAGAAGTGAAGAGGTCTACTGAGCCATATATATATCCTGCCATTTTAGACTATGCAGATGAAAAACCAATATCAGATGAGATAAGAAAACTTACATATTAAAAATATTGGGTAAATATCATGGCAGGGATTTGTTCCCAAAATCATCCTGAATAAGGTAAACTTCCATCGGAATTCCAGATAGTCCTTCCAGGTAAATACAAAATTGATTTTTCAAGAGACTGAACATTTGGGTTTAAGCAAAAGACTAACAACTAATTTCTTTAAATATAACATTTCAGAAACAGTAGTTTTAAGACTGGATTGTCTTATCTGGGAAACAGCATTAAGAAGGTATTAGATTGTTTCAGGTCTTTAAGTAAATGAAAGATATAGAGAAGTGAGTGTGTCTTCTTAGTAGTTAATGAATGCAAGATAGTGTATATCAATTAATTTATTGACTTCAATCTAAAAAATCATTGAATTATTTTTTAAAAATAATTTTTCTTCCACAACACCTAGTTTGCACCATGAAGCCTGTTTGAGCATTAACTATTTGTATAAGTTAGGTACAAGTTGTTTATGAAACTCTATCTTGTTTAAAGCAGTCTCAAATCTTGTAATGAGTTTACAATTTTTTCTATTGATACACTGCTGTACCATGCTCAGTGCCTTGCTCCTATGCCTTTGCCTCACAAGATGTGGTTGTACTGTTGATTTGATGTGATGTAACATCTCAGGTGTGAGCTTCTTTTAGAGAAATTGTTAGTTTAACATCAATCACAGAGTTTAACACCAAATGTGGATCAACCAAGTAAGAATGAGGTGATGGATTTGATAGCTAAGTAAAAAAAAGATATTCGTTGAATTATTTCTCTCATACTTAAGCCTATGGCACATGTACCCCAATTCTTGTTCTTCTTTCCCTTAAAACATACTTAATATATATTTTAAACGCTATAGAGAGATGTAGTTTAATTTTATAACATTTGAATCTCTAGTTTCAAATTACACTTCATTTTCAAAAGAATAGTGTTTTTTAATTGCACACAAAAGAAGAAACTTTATTGCAAGATTTTTTAAAAAGTAGTGTTTCGTTATTTGATCCTAATACGATTTTATAGAATTGCCAGTATTAAGTGTATGGCAGGTAGTATTAACTAATGATCAATATTAAGCATTTAGAACTGAGGATTATGAATTTATAAAACCATGAGACAGTTACCCCAGTATTGGCAGTAATTTGTCATCCACTGGGTAGATTTTATGAACATTTTTGCATAATTTGAAATGATCTCATTACTGAAGAATGATTTCACATGTGGAGGAGTTTATTTTCTTTGAGAGAACCAGTTAGTGTTACTATGAAATTAGCCACAGATGCAGTATTTTTGCTTGTCAAAGCAAACTCTGTTACTATGATGTTGTACAGCTCATACTGCTTCCTTCCTGGGAGCTAATAAAAATAAGGAAGAGCATGGAAATTGGTTTCTCAGATATAAGGTTTAATTTTTATGGCTTAACAGTGTTTATAGAGCTAGACTGTAAGATAAATAAAGACAAATTTAATTCACATGGTTATCTGTACACTGCAATCTTAAAACAACTCAAGTGTTGGGTTTCCAGGATGTATGGAGAAACTAGCGAGGGAAGAAATAGTTTTTAAGATAAGTCAATAGTTCCTGTGATGGGTAGATATTTTCCTTTTAAAATGTTGACAAATACTTTATATTCACATTTCAATTTTCTACCAAGAAGTTTCTCACATTTTAAAAGGAAATACAAGTATCTCTCACTTTCCTAAAAGCTTGATGAACAAAATCCGAAAGCCAAATCGCTTCAGATAGATTTGTCTTGTGTAGTTAAACCCATTAGTTATAGTAAGAGGGCTGAGTTGAGCACCTGACTACCAGATGTAAGTTGATATTTATCAGCATGGCAGATGTTTTTATAATTCAATCAAATCCATAGTTATTTTTTTCAGAAATGTTCCAGAAATCATTTGAGACTTTATTTGAAATAATATGAAGTATAAAATCAAAAAAAAAAAACCAAAACTCTTTTCAAATGTCATCTCAAATTTTCACCTTCATCAGTTTTTCTTTGCACAAAAGAATCAGAATCCACTTCAAAACATTTCTTTTAGAGGAACCCATCAAGAAGAGGGGGGTGTCTTAGTTAAATGGAATGCTATCTTATATTTGCTGCCTCTCGTGACTCCTCTTGACTCTAACAGTCTTCTTTTAACTAAGCCATCAAGCAAATTATCAAGGAAAAGAAAAAGGAAAGAAGATAAAGAAGAGGAGGGACAGAGGAAGGAGATGAGTTCCCTCCTTATGAAACTGTGTGTGCTCCTATGGGGAGAGAGGTGTTGTGAGGTGCATTGTGCAGCTGTGGATGCTAAGAAGAATGTCTCTTTCCTAAAACGTCTAATGAGAGTGAGAGAAAAGCCAAAGAAATTTCAAGTTGAACACTATTATATGTCAAAAGTAAAACTTTGATTTCCAAGTGACTTTGTAGTGTCAGCTGCCATGTGTAGCCCTGGGTCTCTGTTGATTACAACAGTTGAGGCTGAGGAATTTGTGCTGCTGATTCAAAAGGTGAATATATTGTTGTGAAAGAACAATTATATTCTCTTTTGTTTTTAATCAGTACCAGTTATTATGTTATCAAAGAATGTTATTAAGGAAAATAGCATTGCAAGAAGTACCATTGGCCAGGCTTAGATGTCTGCTCACATGAATCCCTATTACTGTTATGTTATTTTTTTTTCTAGACGGTATTTTAGTCCACTACTTTATGTGTAATAATTCAAGTATGTCAGTTATTCCAGGATTATGTAAAAATTCAGGAGAATATTAAAACGTGGTTCAATGTGTGTTAAATACCTTCTTCCCTCTCCTAAAACTGTTCGACTAGGTGTGTCTTTCCTATGAAAGATTATGTGCCATGGTGTTAACCAAGAAAACAAGTGCTTTCTTTTCTTCTCTTTCTTTCTTTCTTCCTTTTTTTCTTTTTGCAAGGAGGGTGGTATGCAGGTACACAAGAAAAGTATCTCTTAAGTTACATATACATAAATTTTATAAATCTCAAGAGATTCAAATATGCACAATGAATAAAGTAATACTTAATTTTAAACTACATTTTGACATGAGCTCAACTTATTCTTACAGTAAAATATTGATATGCTTTTTCTGAATTTGAGTGCTCTAAGAGGTTTTGAGGTCATTTTTTGTTGTCTAAAAATATTAAAACGCATTACGTATAACACGTTTAATTCACAAAATTACATGTTTGTCACATTTAGAGATGCACATTCCTTGAAGAAAGAGTCTAGATGGTCCAGAAAAAATGGAGAAGGTGGTAATTTTTTGTTGTTTTGCCTTTTTATCTTTTCTACTTTGAAAGGTGATTAAAATGAACAAAAAGGCCCAAGGAGAAAAATAGTGTGTTGAGATATTTTCCAAAATTTTTTCGAGGTCTGCCTTTCCCCAAAAGAAATCCACAACCAGCTTCCTTGGAATTGTCTGGGCCGCTTGTGAGATATGCATATCCCTTGGTCCTGTCCCATATCCCTAGGAACAGAGTCTCTTGGAGAGGAGCTTTTAAAAATCTTCAGGGTTACTTTGGGGGGTGGGATATAAGACTGGTGAGAATTTCATAAAAATGCCAAATTCCCTAGCCAGAAGTATTTTTTGTAATAACTCTCAAACATTTATTTATCATTCCAACCTATCAGAGAAATATGTAGATTCAGGATTTCCAAATTTGTCAAACTGTTCTAATCCTGCAGTGTGTAGAAGTAATTGAAATCTTACACCCTCAGAGCCCTAAGCCTGTGTAGGTAAGAAAATAATTACATAAAATAACTATAGAAAATACTTTTTAAAAGAGGGGAAATAGGGCTTCCCTGGTGGCGCAGTGGTTGAGAGTCCGCCTGCCGATGCAGGGGACACGGGTTCGTGCCCCGGTCTGGGAAGATCCCACATGCCGCGGAGCGGCTGGGCCCGTGAGCCATGGCCGCTGGGCCTGCGCGTCCGGAGCCCGTGCTCCGCAACGGGAGAGGCCACAACAGTGAGAG